ATATATATATATATATATATATATGTATATATATATATATATATATATATATGTATATATATATATGTATATATATACATATATATACATACATATATGTATATATATGTGCCACCACTGGCGTGGTGCCAAAAACCTTTAAACATGCTGCCATCCAGCCTATCCTGAGAAAAAACAAACCTTGGCCCCTCAGTCGTATCTAACTTACGGCCAGTCTCCAGACTCCCATTTGTTTCTAAACTTCTGGAGAAAATATTTGAGTCCCAGTTGAAGTGCTTCCTGGAGGATCACGCTATCCTAGAGCTATTCCAATCTGGCTTTAAACCTCTCCAAAGCACTGAAACTGCCCTACTGAAGGTTTTTAATGACATTTTCTTATCCACAGATACTGGTGATTCTGTGCTGCTTGTCCAATTGGACCTCACAGCTGCTTTTGACACCATTGACCATGAGATCCTCATTGCTAGATTGGAGCAGTTGGTGGGCATCACAGGGTCAGCCCTCAATTGGTTCAGATCCTACCTCACTGACAGATCCTTTTGTGTCTTCATCAAGGATTTTAGTTCTGCAGCGGCAGAGCTTAAATGGGGGGTTCCGCAGGGGTCCATCCTGGGTCCCCTCCTATTCTCTTTATACCTGCTGCCACTTGGTGCTATTTTCCGGAAACACAACATACCGTTTCACTTCTACGCCGATGACTGTCAAATTTACTTCCCCCTAAGACACAATGGTACATGCTCTATTCAACCTCTGCTCGACTGCCTGGCTGACATCAGGGACTGGATGGCTGTAAACTTCTTAAGTTTCAATGAAAAGAAGTCTGAAGTTATGTTGTTCCCTTCCAACGACACGATCACAAACCACTGCATCGACCTTTCCGCTCTAACCCTGTCAGAAAAACAAAGAGTCACTAATCTGGGCGTGATAATGGACCCTTCCCTGAAACTTAACAATCATGTAAACATGATTGTTAAATCATGTTTCTTCCAATTGAGGCGGCTGTCTAAACTGAAGCCCATATTGTCCAAAAATAACCTGGAGACAGTAATACATGCATTCATTAAATCTAGGCTTGATTATTGCAATTCACTCCTGTTTGGTATCAGTCAGACCTACATTGCACGACTACAACTGGTCCAGAATGCAGCAGCCCGATTTTTAACCAGTACAGGCAAAAGAGAGCACATTACTCCAGTTTTGGCCTCACTGCACTGGCTACCGGTTCACCTTCAAATCCAGTTCAAAATACTCCAGTATGTCTACAAATCGCTGAACAGTCCCCCCCCCCCCCCCCCCCAATCTCTGTGATTTGCTACAGCCGTATTTCCCACGATGTTCCCTGAGGTCAGCGGACCAGTTGCTCCTCACAGTTCCAGGAACTCGTCTTAAGCGCAGAGGTGACAGGGCCTTTTCTGCCGCAGGAACGACTTTGGAATGAGTTACCTCTGCTTGTCAGACTGGCCCCATCCCTCTCGGTTTTCAAATCCCATTTAAAAACCCACTACTACTCAGTAGCTTTCAACACCAGATGATCTGTGTATTGAACCTGTATGCTTCACACTGGTTAGTCGTCATATTTATTATCTGCATCGTTTTTTTTGTCTATATCCTGATTTACCCCATTTTGTATATTGCTTTGTGTGTTGCCTATTTTTCTGTCTGTACAGCACTTTGGTTGGCCTTGTCGCTGTTTTAAGTGCTTTATAAATAAAATGGTATGGTATGACAAAGTTTACAGAACTTGAACTGAACTTGAACTTCTATATCCCTACTTTGCGGTTTTTCACTTAACGTGGGGGGCAGGGTATGGAGCACTCATGATAAACAAGGGACGACTGTAGTATCATGGCAGACAGGTCCTGGGTGAGGGACCAGACAAAGTGCAGCCCAAAGACCCCAATGATGAGAAACACAAATGGACCTAGTGTTCCCTTGCCCGGACGTGGGTCACCGGGGCCCCACTCTGGAGCCAGGCCTGGAGGTGGGGCACGCGGGCGAGCGCCTGGTGGCCGGGCTTTTACCCATGGAGCTCGGCCGGGCACAGCCCGAAGAGGAGACGTGGGTCCCCCTTCCCATGGGCTCACCACCTGTGGGAGGGGCCAAAGGGGTCGGGTGCAATGTGGGATGGGTGGTGGCCGAGGGTGGGGACCCTGGCGGTCTGATCCTCGGCTACAGAAGCTGGCTATTGGGACGTGGAATGTCACCTCACTGGTGGGGAAGGAGCCTGAGCTGGTGTGTGAGGCTGAGAGGTTCCGGCTAGAAATAGTCGGACTCACGTCTACGCATGGCTCTGGCTCTGGAACCAGTTTCCTTGAGAGGGGCTGGACACTCTTCCACTCTGGAGTTGCCCCTGGTGAGAGGCGCCGAGCAGGCGTGGGCGTACTTATTGCCCCCCAACTTGGTGCCTGTGTATTGGGGTTCACCCCGGTGAATGAGAGGGTGGCCTCCCTCCGCCTACGTGTGGGGGGATGGGTTCTGACTGTCGTTTGTGCTTATGTACCAAACGGCAGTTCAGATTATCCACCCTTTCTGGAGTCCTTGGAGGGGGTACTGGAAAGTGCACCTTCTGGGGACTCCCTTGTTCTGCTGGGGGACTTCAATGCTCATGTGGGCAATAACAGTGAGACCTGGAGGGGTGTGGTTGGGAGGAACGGCCCCCCTGATCTGAACCAGAGTGGTGTTCTGTTGTTGGACTTCTGTGCTCATCATGGATTGTCAATAACGAACACCTTGTTCAAGCATAAGGGTGTCCATGTGTGCTCTTGGCACTAGGACACCCTAGGCCGCAGTTCGATGATCGACTTTGTCATCGTCTCATCTGATCTACGGCCACATGTCTTGGACACTCGGGTGAAGAGAGGGGCGGAGCTGTCAACTGATCACTACCTGGTGGTGAGTTGGCTCCGATGGTGGGGGAGGATGCCGGTCAGACCTGGCAGACCCAAACGTATTGTGAGGGTTTGCTGGGAACGTCTGTCAGAGTCTCCTGTGAGACGGAGTTTCAACTCCCACCTCCGGGAGAACTTCGAACATGTTCCGAGAGAGGTGGGGGACATCAAGTCTGAGTGGACCATGTTTCGTGCCTCTATTGTCGAGGCGGCTTACCAGAGCTACAGCCGCAAGGTTGTCTGTGCCTGTCGCGGCGGCAACCCTCGAACCCGATGGTGGACACCGTCGGTGAGGGATGCTGTCAGGCTGAAGAAGGAGTCCTATCTGGCCTTTTTGGCCTGTGGGACCCCGGAAGCAGCTGATGGGTACCGGCAGTCCAAGCGACATGCAGCTCGGGTGGTTGCTGAGGCAAAAACTCGGGCATGGGAGGAGTTCAGAGAGGCCATGGAGAACGAATACCGCACGGCTTCGAGACGATTCTGGTCCACCATCCGGCGTCTCAGGGGGGGAAAGCGGTACGCCACCAACACTGTTTATAGTGGGAGTGGTGTGCTGCTGACTTCAACTCGGGATGTTGTGGGTCGGTGGGCGGAATACTTTGAAGACCTCCTCAATCCCACCGGCACGTCTTCCACTGAGGAAGCAGAGCCTGAGGACTCTGGGTCGGGCCCTCCAATCTCTGGTGCTGAGGTCACCGAGGTGGTTAAAAAGCTCCTCGGTGGCAGGGCCCCAGGGGTGGATGAGATTCGCCCGGAGTTCCTTAAGGCTCTGGATGTTGTAGGGTTGTGTTGGCTTACGCGACTCTGCAATATTGCGTGGACATCGGGTGAAGTTCCCCTGGATTGGCAGACCGGGGTGGTGGTCCCCCTATTCAAAAAGGGGGACCGAAGAGTGTGTTCCAACTACAGGGGAATCGCGCTCTTAAGCCTCCCTGGTAAGGTCTACTCGGGGGT